CTTAAATATATTATATTTTAATAACATATTTTATCTTACCAATATTTAATAGAGAGTAAAATAAAAAATTAAAAAAATTTAATAATGTAAATATAATAAAATTAAAAAAAATAATATTCTCTCTTTATTTTATAAATTGAACTGGAGGGAATATACATGCATTCAATGTTGGGATCGTTTACTGGTTAAAAAACTTGTACTTTATCTTTTCACTGTTTAAATAATTTGTCCTTGTCATTTATAACTCAGCCCAGGTCATAATTCAGTCATCAGACGAGTCAAGCATTGGACGTGTTCATTGTGTTTCCATAACAGTGTATTCATAAAAATTTGAAGGGTCCACTTGAAGCTTTGTTTTGAATGCAAACACAGAAAGTGTTCCGGTTCAGTGCTTACCAATCTTAGTGTTGATATGAACCTTCAATTTTTCTTAAAATAATCTCCGCTATTTATTTTAAATTAAATTTTAATTATTTTAATATATTATTTATTAAAATAAAATATTTGAAAAATTATAAAAAATAATAATAATTTTATACTATTTAAAGTACATCTAAATAGTCAATTTGTAAAATTATAAAAATTTTATATTAAATTATATCATTAGATTATATCCATACTGTCCAAAATATTTTAAATGTCAATTTAAAAAATTTAATATTAAGTTAGTTCATCGAGACTAAATATGCAATGGCCAGATTGATGATAAAAAAATTTATGAAAAACTTTTAAATTTGATAAAATAAAATAAAAAACTATTAAGTCTAGACAACCCAGATTTCATGGTGATGAGTAATCTGGTACTCATCCCCTGATGAGTATTGAAGACAGTCTAAATTTAATATTAAATTTTTTATAATTTTAAAAAAATTTATTTTGATAAATAAAATATTAACACTATTAAAAATTAATTTAAAATGAACGACAGAGATTATTTTGAGATAAATTGAAGGTTTCAGATCAATCCTAAAGCTGATGAGCATGCGATGCTCATCGTACTGATGCAAGCACAGAAAGCTTTAGTATTTGTCATTTGACCAGCAAGTGCTCCTCACAATAAATAAAAAAAAAAAAATCATCTGTTCATCAATTAATTAGAATTGTCAGAACATGAGAATTAATGTTTTGGGAATTGGCTTTGCCCCCCTTGCTTCAATTTGGCAGGATCTGAAAAAAAGAATTGCACAAAGAAAATACTGAGAAAATTTTTTAAGTTAACAGTTTCACGTCAAAAATTAAATTTGAACTTTGATATCCACACCTTATCTCGCTCATATAATTGTAGGCAATATTTTACAACGCAGAATTTCTGAGAAATAACAGAGCATGAGGGGGCTACTTTACCATGTTATATTGGCAGGCCACACATGGAATGTCTCAGAGCAGTTCAAAATATTTGATGATTCAAAAATTAAATTTAAAATTTTAAATATTTTGTTTCAATTCTTATGATATCTATGTTTCTTGTACTATTATCTCTTTAGAGCATCATCATCATCATCATCATCATCATTCTCTCTTCTCTCTTTTCTCGCCCTCCTTCCAGTACTATACTGTCTATGCATATAAAATCATTGAATTTTTGGCAAAAAAAAAAATCAAATAGATGAATTTGATATATTTATTTAATTTATTATTTCACTACTTTTCAAATCTTATAGCATTCCCTTTGTATTCTTGTTTTATTTTTGTTATAGATAAGTAAAGTTTGAATTTTGATGACATCCATACCAACCTTTCAGCTAGAAAAAGATAATATTTCTCAACTTGAAATAATTTTCTTAAAAATAAATAAATAGCAAAGCAGAATCAAGCACCGGCAAAATTGCATGGGGCTTACTTTACATGTAATAAATATCCATAACATTATATGAGTGGGTGTAGAAGTGATCAAATCATTAGCTTTGCCCTAACATCATTATTTTTTTGTGTTAAATGCTGACTGTACATGCCATGTGTCAATCTTTGTTGATGTGTACTAAGAAAGAGGCAAAAAATATTTATAAAGGGCCAAGACTATCCAATAGCCTAAAATAAGAAAAAAAGACATAAATACCTATAATGCTACCAAAGTTGGTGCAAAAGTGACCAATATATCAAATCCCTTAAATATTGACCGCTTAGCTAACACCCAGCAGGAATTGACCATTTTTTTGCTAACGTGAAAAAAAATTCCCAAGTGAAATTTTATGGAGGTTAATCGGTCATCGTATAAATATCATGTGGGGAAATGTTTGTTTTGACCAAACATCAAATTAAATTGTTTGCTTCTTTGCAGTAATGGTGAAACCATTTGAAATTTGTGAACCTATTATAAATGAAATTGCTTCAGGTTGTGATAATGCTCTTAAGGTAGGGTGGCATATATAGGAGGTGTGCTTAGTCTCAATCTTTGATTGTGTATAACGTATCTCATTGTCTTGAATCTCAAGTTTTGCAGACAAAAAAAATGAGTGGAGAAGGAGGGAGAAGGGGGGGTGGATAAGTGGTGATGGAAAAAAATACATGATTGGTCGCTACTGAGCACCCTCTAAAGTACATTATGGGTTCACATATGATTATCAATCAACTTCCATAGAAATTTGTAACATTTGTCTCGGAGTGTTACTAAAAGCCACCACAACTAAATAAATTAAGTGCAGTTTAGAAGATGATTCTAAACTAACTAAGGAGACAAACTATTTAAAATCAATAAACAAATTACACAATAGCAAGCCACACATTTAAAACCTCTTAAAAAAGTCTAAAGGATTAATATATAGCCCACAGAAGTAAGCTACGCAAAACTAGGACAAAAGTTGCTGTCATGACAACCTCCAGGCCAACTTTTGAGAACATTGTTTCACTATCCGTCCTCCAACATGTAGCATGCATAGTCAACATTTAATATAGGAAACTAATGACATTAGGGCAAAGTTAACTGTTTGGTCAGCATTTATGCCCTTTTCCTCACTTTAGGCTATTGAATACCCTTAGCCGACGACTTTGTAGGTATTTTAACTTTTTTACTCTAAATTAAATTAGACTATTGTATGGTATACTCCTCCAGTCTTTTTAATAATTGATTCCTATCAACTTCACCAATGTTAATGCAAAAACAATAAAAAGGAATAAAAGTGGTGTTAAATTTTAAATATATCCCTATATAAAAAATTTAAAAGTGATGTCATGTTATTTTTTCTTTTCAAATATTACCTAAAAAGTTGTACCATAAGTTATGAATAGGACCAAATGAACTTTCTAAATTTGTGTCTCATAAATAGGACTGTATATAGCACTGTGTAAGAAACAAGAGCCATTATTGAGATCTCACACTATGACCTTAGGGGCTAATTTCTATACCAAGACACACCGCTATTTTTTTCCCCTTTCATTCACTTTAAAAGGTGTGCTTGGTTTGGAGGGGAGCAGGTGGAAGGGATGGGTGGTGATAATTTTTATATTACCCTATTTGATTTTATTGGAAATGAAGGGAGAGGAGGGGTCTTTGATCAATTATTTGGAGAGATAATAACTAATTTATTGCTATATATATAAAGTAATTTTTCAACTTAATTCAAATTGTATAATTTATAAAAAAAATTACCCTCATCCTAATATCAGTAAATACTTAAATTGTATAATAGCATCAATTTTTAACTTCCTTGAATATATAATAAAATAGAGGCATTTTAATTATATCATAAAACTTTTTTAAACATACCACTCTATTAAAACCTTCGTTGCGTCCCATAGAAAAACTAATTTGTGGTACTTGTAAAGTTATCATTTTACAAATTGCCTTTGCAAGTTAAATGACACGTTGACTGCATACTGGAGAAAGTATTCCTTATTTAGTGCTTTTATGAATGTTCAAATCAATAATATAAGAAATAAAATCTAAATAAAAACAATTTATCCTGGAAAAGTTTGTTGAAGTAATAAACTTCTTCCTTTTTCATGCTCATAGGAAAATTGTTGAAGATGTTCCTCGTGGTGTGCACGTAAACTTTTTGAAAGCAAAAAAAAGTCTACATAGAGTGTCGGTTTTTTTTTTTCCTCCTCTTATTCATTTGTTGCAATTTTACATAGTAACTCGTGTGAATTTTTCATGAAACAAGTTATATGAAACCGCCTAAGAAACTAAAAAGTTTGGCGGGAAGATGATAGGAAGGACCCGCAAATATTACTTTACAGTATTAGACGTGGGCTTCACATAGAAGCCCCTAGTAAAAAAGACTAGTCTTGCATACTTTAAATTTGATTTAAGGTGCATTGTTTAGTTATTTTTTGGATTTTATTAATAATTAATATATCCAAACAATTTTATTACAATCCAAAAAATTAATTATAAATATAAAAATATACAAATAAATTTGAATTATTAAAATTGGATCTAACAACAACGTAAAGAAAAGGTGAGAAATTGAGAATAAGGGAAACAGAGACATCCCTAATCTCTTGAGATGGGAAGTACAAAGCCAGTGGACAGAAAAAAATGAGAAAAAACAAAACGAAGTCATGTTATTGTAACATTTTTTTTTTTAAGAAAGTTGTTGGAAGCTCTGAATAAAATTAAGTTTTTTTAAAATACATAATTAATGTTTCAATATATTTATTCAAAGTGAGTTAATTTGTTACGACCACCAATTTATGCAGAAAGTACTACTAATGGGATTTTTTTTTTCAAGAAATAACAACGCGCCATCAAAGTATAGCTGTAAAGCAGAAA